CTAATAGCTAATGATCATGAGCATTTCTTCATATGTTTGTTGGCCGCTTGAATATCCTCCTTGGTGAAGTGTCTATTCATGTCTTCTGCCCATTTTTAATTGGATTGTCTGTCTTTTCGTTAGTAAGGTCACACAGCATTCTTCTATGTACACACAGATGCACATAAGCACCCATGGGAGTGCAGAGAATGTCCTTTCCGGTCCCTGTGACTCAATGGGGTTTTTATACAGCATTCTTGTATGTGCACACACATACACGCACCCGTCAGAGTATATCAAATGTCCCTCCTGGTCCCTCTGGCTCAGCGCAGCTTGCACATGGTGTTCCTGCGCATGCACACACACATGCACCCATAGGAGTGCGTTGAATGTCCCTGCTGGTTTCCCTGACTCGTGCAGCTTTCACACATCATTCCTGTGTGTGCGCACAGACACACACACATCCATCAGAGCAGGTGGACATTCCTGCCGGTCCCTCTGACTCAGTGTGGCTTTCACACGGTGTTTCTGTGCATGCACACACACACACACCCCTATAGGAGCATGTAGAATGTCACTCCCAGTCTCTCTGACTCAGCACGACTTTCACATAGCATCCCTGCATGTGCACATAGACATGCACATGTGCGCCCATAAGAGATGTAGAATGTCCCTCCTGGTCCCTCTGACTCAGCGGGGCTTTCACACAGGAAACTTAAGTTGCTAAGAAACAAGTTGTTGTCTTCGTTCTGTTCCAACTGCATATGTTAACTTCACCAAGAATGAATGGAAAAGAAATGCTTCCAGACCACAGGGGTTCTCATGTGGAGAACTACGCTCTTGGTCTCATGCTTGGTGTTAATTCTTTGGGCAGTAATGTATTTGGTGTCACTGTGAAATTTTTCTGCCCTGGTGTGGTTTGGGTGGTACTTTTCTCTGCTTGGAATCGGGGCCTCACTCATCCCTGCAGCTTTGCAGACTCTGAGATGAAGGCAGGCTCTCAGGTGATGGGAAATCTGAAGGGACAGATGATGTAGCTGGATCTGGTCGTTCTCCCACAGCCCTGTGACATTGAAGAGAAACGCTGCAATGTGAAAAGCTGGAGGGTTGAAGCCTTTCCTTCAGATTACAAAACAATTGATTTTGCCCCTACAAATGGGAAGGGACTGGCTTAGCATTGAGTTCTGTGAAAAAGAACCTCTGGTCTCAACAGACCCTGAGCTTCTGGCTGAAGTCTGTGGTGCTGCTAAGTGGGGGAGGGCATGGGCTGTGCGAGATCAGGTCAATCTCCCCTGCCCGAAACAGAGCCCTGGGTCACTTGCTTGTCCTGCCTGTGTTGACTATTTGAGAAACAAGATACAGACGATACCTACCTCCTAGGTAGAGCTCAGAGCAGCAGCAACGCGGAGCACTTGCAGCACACTCAGCAGTGGATGCTCTTCCTCCTCAGTTAAAAACTCACCTGTTGCAAATATACATGTGTATCTGCATATATGCACACATATACAGACAGATGTACATGTGTACACACAAACACATACCCACACATACCTGCATACAGACTCACATGCACCATATAAATACACATTGCAGACACATGTACATATACATACACATGCATGTAGATGCACACACCACAAATGCACGTTGTAAACACACATACACATACTCATATCCACACATATCTGCCTACTTGTACCACATAAATACACGTCACAAACACACGTGCATGCAGATGCACACGCACATACATGTACATAGTTGCACAGTCCACATAAATACATGTGTTGCAAACGTATTTACATGTACGCATAAGTACAAGCTGATGCCTGCACATACACCACATAAACACATAGTACAAACATAATCACATACGTGTGCATATACACATGTAAGAAATCACTGTCATCGAGTCACTTCTGACTCACAGTGACCCCACTGGGTTTCCCAGGCTGTAAATCTTCATCGTCCTCCTACAGAGCAGCTGGTCAGTTTGAACCACCGAGCTGGTTAACTGCCAGATGCCTTCCCAGTGTACCACCAGAGCTTGTATATGTACATAGATGTACATAGGTACACACTTGCAGACACACACACCCCCTCCACATGAACACATGCGCTACAGACATGCACACAGAGCTCGGCGCCGGGGCAGGGCAGGGCAGGATGGTGTGCCCAGCAGTGGACGCACTTCCTCTTCAGTTAATGACTCAAATGAGTCACTCTTACATCTGGGTGATTTCTTGTTGCCAAACTAAATGTTCCTTTAGAAAGGGTCTCATACATACAGACTCGTTCAGGTGCACACACATAAGCACATAACGACATGACAAGCATACACATACACAGCTGAACGCACAGACACTCCTGGGCGTGTGCACATGCACATGCCAGCAGCATTCTGTGAATGCGAGGCATGTCCATGGCACTGCCTTGATCTCTGGGCCCCGGCACTGCCAGGCTCACTTCCCTGCAGTGAATTTTGGGGTGAGTCTGTGTCTACTCAGATCCACAGAGGGGAGCAGGTTGGTACAGGTGTTTTTGCTTCAACCTCTTTGTGTAAACTGTTACATGGAGCCTGTGGGTGGCACAGACAATTAAGTGCTCGACTCGTAGCTTAAAGGCCACTAGTTCAAACTCACCCAGAGGTCCCTCAGCAGACAGGCATGGTGATAGGCCAGAGCCTTGGAAACCCCATGGCGCCGTCTGCTCTGCACACATGGGGTAGCTGTGAGTCGAACTAGCTCCATGGAAGCGACAATACAAGAACTCTTACATGCTCAGTGTGAGGTTGGCCAGGGATGCCTGGGAGTCCCGAGTCCCTGAGGTCAAGGTTGGTCAAGAATGAGGCAGCGTGGAGGGCGAGGTCCCTGCAGCCCTTATTGTGCTGTTGCTGTCCCAGGCCATCTCCCACCCCTGCTTTGTTCACTGCACCCTGCGGTCTTCGGCCTGCCCTGGGGCTGGGCCTGATTTCTCACCAGCTGACTGGGTTTCCTCGCCTGTCAGCTGGGGCAGGATGTGGGTCCATGGTATCCAGCTGCAGGGCTCAGCATCTCCCTCCTGAGCCCATGCCAGCCATCAGGCCGAGCATCAATCTGTCCTGTGTCTAGAGACTCCCTGCTCCCCATCTGGACCCAGCTCTCGTGGCGAGCCCACAGGTGCAGAGTGGAACTGCACACGTGGCTCTCGAGGCTGTGACCTTTCACCAGGTCTGTCTCTCGGGCCAGGGCCTGTGCTCTCACCACCAATACTGGGGGGTCGCTCTCAGACCCTGCACGGCAGAGACCACGGACCAGCTGCCACACCCAGACAGAACACACAGGCTGTCAGGTTTCAGCAACAGTTGTAAAAGATTGGCTGAACAGAAGTTTCTAAATACAGCTGCCCCTTTGAAGCTTTTGTTTCCTGTGATCCCTTAAGTTTCTAAGTAATTGTGAAAATCACTGGTAATTTTTAACGCGAGCTTGGAATCAGTTTAATTTCAAGCATGGAGAATAGCCTCTTCTGTTAAACACGTGTGGAAAAATGCATGGTGTTTTCGGTGATGGTGTCAGAGGTAGTCCTTGATCTCGATTGTTTGCTTGAACGAGAAGCATCTAAGCCTTGAGCCGCCTTCAGCAGCTCCTTGGTGCACACTGCAGCCCCCTGTGGCCAACTTGTGCTGTCCCCCGCTTTCAGGACCCCAAAACGTACGTCCAGACGGTGCTGGACGTGCACAAGAAATACAACGCCCTGGTGATGTCCGCCTTCAACAATGACGCCGGCTTTGTTGCTGCACTTGATAAGGTGTGTGGGCACTGTGGGGCTCCACGGGCTCACGCGGGCAGGGCACCCCTAACTGTCTCTGTGCACCCACAGGCCTGCGGCCGTTTCATCAACAACAACGCAGTGACCAAGATGGCACAGTCATCCAGCAAATCCCCGGAGCTGCTAGCGCGGTACTGTGACTCCTTACTGAAGAAAAGGTACTGGCCACCCCTCTTGATGTTTAGTGACCCATGAGGGAGGTTAGAGGGCACACAGAGGCACACGTCCATCACACGGGCATCTGTGCCCTTGCGGACAACTCTTTAAGCCTAACCCTCCTTGCCTTCTTGAAGGGGCATCTGTGGCTGGTGCCCAACCTGTTCTTTTCAGCTTGCTGACAGCCACGGGCCCTCAGCTGGAGGAAGGTCAGTCCTGGGTCAGATCAGTTTTCACTGAGAGTGGAGGTGGTGGCCATAGCAACTCTGTCCTCCAGCTCTCATTTTCCCTCGTTACCACCTGGGTGTGACTCTGGGGTGAGCAGTCAGCTGCAGGCTGGCCATAACTGACAATGATAGGGTCCTGGGCACACAGGGCAAGGACACTAGTCCCCATGCCTGCAGGATGCATTTTCACTTGACAAGCTTGGTGCTTTACCATTTCTCGTTCTTGGCTTTGTAAATGTTGCTTTTATTATTGTTGTTGTCAAGGATAGACTTAGCAGAACGTACATTGATTCAGCAATGTATGCTGTACGGTTCACTGACACTGATTCTGTTCTTTGAGTTGTGCGACCATTCTCACCCTTTTCCTGATTGTCCCTCCCCCATCAATGTAAACTCACTGCCCCCTGAGGTTCCTGCCTAATCTTTAGAGTTGACCCCTTATGGAAAGTTTTTGAAAAAACACAGTGGTCTAGACAGATGGTTTTCACTAGTTCAGATGAACTGCTGTTTGGTTGTTCAGGGGACTTCAAGGGATGCCTTTGGTTTGAGGTTTAAAGACTATCTCAGGGCAGTGGTTTTAGGGGCTTACCCAGCCTCCATGGTTCCAGAAAGTGTAGAGTCCATGAGATTTTTAAATTCTGTTCTGCATTTTCCCTCTCTTGATCAGAGTTCTTCTGTGGAATCTTTGATCAAAATGTTGAGTAATGGGAGCGGGCCACCATGCAGTTCTTCTGGTCTTACGGCATAGCAGGCAGCTGCTCGTGGAGGCATCAGCCACGCGTTCCATCTCCCCCATGTATTCCTGACTCTCCTTCCTCTGTGGCTCCAGACGAAGAGAGACCAGTTACCATGTCTTAGATGGCTGCTTCCAAGCTTTGAAGACCCCAGACACCATGCAGCGAACTAGGCAGCAGAGAGCAGCAGCATTCCTAAACAGAGCTTTAGGCCAGTCGACTGGGCTGTGCTGGGAAACCATGAGCCTAAACTTCCAAACCCAGAAACCAGAGTTCTGTGGTTGTACGTGAGCTGCTTTGGCAGCTGCTTTGTTGTTGTTGCTGTGAGTACATGTGTCATACAGCATCTGCCTGTTCCACTTTTATAGGTATACAACCTACTGAATCAGTTAATTGGGTGTGCAGCCCATGCTGTCTTTTTACAGAGAAGAAAAAAAAGTTTACAGAGCAAATTCATTTTCTATTCAACAGTTGGTACACATTTTGTTTCATGACATTGATTGCAGTCTCCACAGTGTAACAGCTCTCTTCCCACTTCCTCCTTGTGGTTCCTTTTCCTGTGCCTTCCTGCCCCCAGAGCTGTCTCCCTGTGCAAATGCTTGGGCAGCCCTTACTGTTACTGCCTGTGCTTTCTCTGTCACTGTAAACTAACACTCAGTGCTCTGTCAACAATAACCAGCAGCCACCCACCTCTGGTACCACTGACACACTCACCTCCGGGTGCCTGTTCTTGTCATTTGTATCTGTGAGGGCACAGCAGCTGGGATGAAGAGCTGGGCAGGGTGGATCCCAGGGTGAGATGACAAGGCGGCCTCCTCTGTGCACACCCTTTGATGCGCGGTGCACCGTGGGCATAAGACAGACAGACAGAGGGACTTGGGGTTTATATGTGCTGGGCCAGAGGATTGTATGCTCTGCGTTGCAACCTAGAAGGGGGAGGGGTGAGAGGAAGGTGCCTTTGCTGAAGTGCAGACAGCACAGCCACCCTGGGCCACGTGCTCGGCCATCACTGTGCTTTGTGATCCTGGGTGAGCTCACGAGGAACTTTCATGTAGCTACACGGTTACCTCTGGAAACCTGTATCTTCTAAGTAATGATAGGCATGCCTTCTTTGCCCCTGATCCCCTGACTTCTGAGTGGACGTTTCTAATCAGTTCGTGTGTACATTCCTCAGCCCCCCCTTTGCCGGGTTCTGTTGTCCCTCTGTTGTGTGTTGTTTGTTGGTCCTCAACCCCCCCTCTGCTGGGCTCACTGGGCTGTGTTGTCTCCATGTTGTGTGTTGGACTTCTTTGCTGCTACTTCAATTCATGAGAAATTCTCATCGAGGCATCACATTGGCAAAATCTGTGGTGAGGGGCGAAGTTGTTTCTTATGCCCCAAACAAGACTGGTGTTGATCCTGATAAGCTATACCTGAGACTCACGTACCCTGGTGAAAAACAGTCACAGGGCACACACCACCAGAATATAAAGACCCCAGGCAAGTTTACTCAGGAACACAGCACATCCGTCTTCAGTGTTGCTAAGATATCGGCTAATCAGATTTGTCAGTGAATTTGAATTCCTCAAAACATGGTGTAGCCTTCTAGAACATAAGTAGCAAATCTCATGGGGTTTATGACTGAGAACGCTGTGGAAAACCAGTGGTCATCCCCACAGATGACGGGGAACCTTGGTGCAGACCCTAGCTCTCCTGTGGTTGTTAAGTGTTGTCGCGTTAATGCCAACTCGTGTGGCCCCGGGAGTGCAGAGTGAAACCGCCCCTCAGGGCTCTCTGGCACTCATCTGTTGGAAGTGGGTCGTCAGGCCTGTCTCCCAGGGCGGCTCTGGTGGGTTTGAACTGCGGGCTTTTCAGCTGGCTTTCAAATACTTAACTGTTTGTGCCACCCAGAGGAATCTTATAGTTCTCCTGACTTGTCAGAAGGTCACTCACCTGGGGCAGTGAGAGTTTACAGCATGAGTGTGTGATAAGCGCCAGGCCACTGTCCAGCTTGGGGATTCTAGTCAGAGCCTAACAACAGTCAGAGTGTCTGGTGTACTGTTTCCAGGCATAAAGGGACTTTAGGTTACAGTGCCTCTTATAACTCGGTGTCGCATCAGGCTCTGTGAGGTGGTGAGTTTGAGGCTTGTAAACATGGAGACATTCTGTGAGGGTCAACTCAGTGTCGCTTCAGGCTCTGTGGCGTGGTGAGTAACTAATAGACATTTCCAAGTGTGGCCACTGGGAACACATGCTGGTGGCAGGGCAACTGATGGTTCCAGGGCGGGCAGCCTGGGCATCCAGTACTTCCCAGCAGGTGGGGAGAGGAGCGGGCCGGGGAGGCAAGGGCTGCACCCTCAGAACTCATTGTTTCTCTTCCCTGGCAGGAGCTTGGTGAAGCTTTTGGGGGCCCGTCCTCTAACATGACCTTACAGAGGTCTCACGTATAAGGGACTCGTAGTCAAACCTGAGAAGTTCTTTTGTTTGAATGAGTCAGTTGTGAAGTGGAAGCAGACTGTGCACAGCAGCTGGGAGAGGGAGGTGCATCCACTTGCGTTGACAGTACGGAAGGAGACGCCATCAGGATGCGTGGGAAGCCCACTGACGTCCCTGCTGCTAACTTTCGCCTTTGGGGTTCTGAGTGGTCACTTCATGTCACTCTTGTTCCACGAAGGGATTGGGTCTGAGGGAAGTAGTGCCACAGTGTGGTGTGACAGGCTCTGGCTGACCAGAACACGTTTACCAAGCATTGGCTAGTTGGTTTAGAACTGTGTCTTTTTCTAAATTTCAGCTCCAAGAACCCGGAAGAGGCAGAGCTGGAAGACACACTGAACCAAGTGGTAAGATGCTTGGTGGTTGTGTGTGGTCTGTAGCTGTCGTAAGGGGCTGTTCAGGGTCATGTGTCACTCCCTACATGAGGAACATGCCTCATCAGTCCTTAGTCTGGATAGTGTGTGTGCAGGCCTGCCGAGGTGCTCCCTCTGGAGAGCAGGGCCGGTGCTCCCCCCCCCCCAGGGTACACAGATGGGAGCTGCACCGTGGGCAGTGTGCTGGGAGGCAGTGCCCCCCATCCCACCCCACCCCAGAGTGCAGGATGGGTCAGGGATGGGGCATGGTGGGCGGTGTGCTGCAAGGTGGGGAGCCGCACACGGACAGCGTGCTGTGAGGCGTGGCCCACCAGTCTGTTCTGTGGTGGTTGCGTTAGATGGTTGTCTTCAAGTACATCGAGGACAAGGATGTGTTCCAGAAGTTCTACGCAAAGATGCTGGCCAAGCGCTTGGTGCACCAGAACAGCGCGAGTGACGACGCCGAGGCCAGCATGATCTCCAAGCTGAAAGTACGCCACCTGGGGGGGCTGGCGTCGCCCCCTGCTGGGAGTAGCTCCGGGAAGTGCCCCCCCCCCAGCATGCCGGCCACACCCTCAGTCACACTCCGTCTGAACTGAGCTCTCCCCCTCCAGCTTCTCCCATGGTGACCCTCACCACAGCCTCTGTCCATGCCCCTCCCTTCCTCCTCATTCAGAGAGATCTTGCAGACGTCTGACCCCCGAGATCCTGGAGAGCTGTCACATTTGTGAAATGCTATTTCCAGTTGTGTCCTCCCTTCCTCCTCTTTAAAACCATAAAAGCTTGGCAGGTTCCCCACTGACCGCCGGGAGAGCCCCTGCCCCCATTTCCCCTTCCACCTGCCAGCACCATCTCCAGGGCCACCGTGTGTGGTCTGTATGCCGTGTCTGTGTGGTGATGAGGTGCTGTTCGGGTGTTTCAGCAAGCCTGTGGCTTTGAGTACACCTCCAAGCTCCAGCGTATGTTCCAGGACATTGGTGTGAGCAAGGACCTGAACGAGCAGTTCAAGAAGCATCTGACCAATTCTGAGCCCCTCGACCGTGAGTGCCAAGCACAGCGGCCTCGGCTGGTGTGGTCCTGGGCAGGGCACACGGGACTCAAGCAAGAGGCAGCCCGGTGAGGGAGGAGGTGGCTGGTCTGTCAAATGCGTCAGAAGGGAGGGGAGCTCTCCAGAGCAAACGGTTTCTGATTGTAGTCAAGGTGAGAAGTGGTTATTAGTGTCCCTTTCAGCAGGATTTTTTCAGGGACTGCCTTCTGCTAATGAGCAGTGGGCTGAGGGTCTGGGCATGGGGCCAGCCCCTGACTGCGTGTCTGCCCTGCAGTGGACTTCAGTATCCAGGTCCTGAGTTCCGGGTCATGGCCCTTCCAGCAGTCCTGCACGTTTGCGCTGCCCTCTGAGGTGAGGGGCAGGATGGGCACTGGGTAGGCGGGCGGGCAGCTGGACAGGAGGGCCAAGGGCTCTGCCTCACTCAGCACAGCAGTGTGCTTCCATAAAGCAGAAGCTGCTCTGTTGATAGCAAATGTGGTGACGTTACCAGTTGTCTGGAAGCTATGGCTGTCTACGTTCAGGTGTGTCACGAGAGTCTTGTGTTGGCCTTCACTGAGACTTCATGTGTGTGAACTTGGAGCCATGTATTTTACTCGGAAACAGGCCATAGACACACAGGGGCACATGTTCTCTATGATGTGAACCATGGAGGGCATGTGTTCTCTGTGACGTGGACCGTCAAGGGCGCATGTTCTCTGACGTGGACCGTGGAGGGCACGTGTTCTTTCTGACGTGGACCGTGGAGGGCGCGTGTTCTCTCTGACATGGAGTGTAGGGAGCATGTGTTCTCTGTGACGTGGACCGTGGAGGGCGCGTGTTCTCTCTGACGTGGACCGTGGAGGGCGCATGTTCTCTCTGACATGGACCGTGGAGGGCATGTGTTCTCTGTGACGTGGACCGTCGAGGGCGCGTGTTCTCTCTGACGTGGACCGTGGAGGGCACGTGTTCTCTCTGACATGGAGTGTAGGGAGCATGTGTTCTCTGTGACGTGGACCGTCGAGGGCGCATGTTCTCTGACGTGGACCGTGGAGGGCACGTGTTCTCTCTGACGTGGACCGTGGAGGGCGCGTGTTCTCTCTGACATGGAGTGTAGGGAGCATGTGTTCTCTGTGACGTGGACCGTCGAGGGCGCGTGTTCCCTGACATGGACCGTGGAGGGCGCGTGTTCTCTCTGACGTGGACCGTGGAGGGCGTGTATTCTCTGTGATGTGGACTATCAAGGGTGCATGTTCTCTCTGACATGGAGTGTAGGGAGCATGTGTTCTCTGTGACGTGGACCATCGAGGGCACGTGTTCTCTGTGATGTGGACCATCGAGGACGCGTGTTCTCTCTGACGTGGACCATCGAGGGTGCATGTTTTCTGTGATGTGGAGTGTGGGGGGCATGTGTTCTCTGTGACATAGACCATAGGGGGCTTGTGCTCTCTGTAACATGGACTGTCGAGGGCACATGTTCTCTGTAACATGGACTGTCGAGGGCATGTGTTCTCTCTGACGTGGCGTGGGGGGGCATGTGTTCTCTGTGACGTGGACCATAAAGGGCATAGAAGGACTGTCAAGGGCATGTGTTCTCTGTGATGTGGACCGTCGAGGGCACATGTTCTCTCTGACGTGGAGTGTGGGGGGCGTGTTGTCTGTGATGTGGGCTGTCGAGAGTGCGTGTTCTCTTTGATGTGGAGTGTGGGGCGTGTGTTCTCTGTGTGATGTGGACCGTAGGGGACGCATGTTGTCTGTGACATGTCCCTCTGCAGCTAGAGCGGAGTTACCAGCGATTCACAGCTTTCTACGCCAGCAGACACAGTGGCAGGAAGTTGACGTGGCTGTACCAGCTGTCCAAAGGGGAATTGGTGACTAACTGTTTCAAGAACAGATACACTTTGCAGGTAAGACCACCTGATTTCTAGAGCCCTTGTTAACCTGTGTGAACGTAGACAGGTAACAGTCTGCAGCCCTGGGTGGTGTTCTTTCCGGCCGAGTACCAGCCCTGCATCCCCTGCTCCTCCCCCGTAAAATGATGGTGTGAATGTGGGTGTCATGGAGGTGGCTGCAACTGGATGAAGGCACCCGCTGAAAGCAGGTGGCTCCCGCCTGGCACTCATCATGTTCATGGTGTCATGTGCTACATGTGGTGGCAGCTCTTCGCTCTGATGAAGCAGCTTGCCATTGGTTCTCACCCTCAGCGCTTACTGCACACGTGGGTACTGGCCAGCCACACCCACATTTACAGAGAAGAACCTGAGGTACAGGGGAACTGAAGTGCCTGTCTCTAGATCTGCTTCCCATTTGCCACGGTTTTAGTTAAGGTCTCTTCACTGCAAGAGTCTGAGGTCTTCCTCCTTTCCGGGAAATTGCTTTGTCCTACTGCCTGCTTGTCCCTCCACAGACGGGCGAGGAGCTCGAGGCGCTGCAGTCCGTGTGCTCTCTCACCCCTTGAGGGTGTCTCCTGATGACATGGTTCCAACTCTGTCCTGTTATTCTGGCGACAGGGTACTTGGAACCTTGAGTGGGCATCGTCGTACAGTGGACGTTGTGTTTCATTGACCCCTCATATGTGGGAAGAGTCCACGTACACACTCTGGTCTCGGAAGCCCCGTCTGTTTTAGGCCAGTGGGTCCCAAGCCCAGGCGCAGTGCTGCGTCGGCCGCGTGCTGCTCCTGGCCTGTGTCCGTGAGAGGCTCGGAGAGCTTTAACGGAGGCTTTCCCTGATGGGTTGGGTCACTGCCAGGACAGCGAAGCAGCAGCTGCTGCCGCCTGTGGACATCTGAGCCCCGTCTTGGGGAGGTCGTACTACCTGAGCACAGGCAGTCTCACTCTGGCTTCCTTCCTCCAAGTCAGTTTTCTGGTTGGGAACCCCAGGTTCTGCCAGGGGCCCAGTGTCCCAATGTCCTCACACAGGCTCAGTGTTGAAAATGGTGGTGTTAGACATTCAGTGGGAAAGGGACTGGAGAACCGTGGTCTGTGTCGGCCCAAAGCTTTTCCAGTCAGGTCGAGGTCACACATGCTGCCACCCTGCAGCCTTTTCACGGGTTCTGACAGCAGCTGTCCCTCCCACGGCTCTCTCTGCTTCTCTGCTGGGTTTGGTCATTTGTTGCAGTGGCCACACACAACTCACAGACCATACGGTAACGGGGTTTACGATGCAGGTGTTGTCGGTAGGTGTCGCCTCGTCAGTTTTAGCTCAGCAGCCCTGTGTACTGCAGAGTGACCTGTTGTGTACCAGCGCCACAATGCTCGCTGGACCTGAGCCCACTGCTGCAGCCACTGTAGCAATCCATGTCATTGAGGATCTGCCCTTTTTTATTGACCCTCCAGTTTACCAAGCTTGATATCCTTCTCCATGGAACGGTCCCTTCTGACAACATGATGTGGTCTGGCCATTCTCGCTTCTAAGGAGCATTCTGGCTGCACTTCTTCCAAAACACATTTCTCCTTTGTTTGTCAGTCCACAGTACGTTCGATATTCTTTCTCAACACCACAATTCAAATGTATGTTCTTCGGGCCTCCTTATTCATTATCCACTTTTCATGTGCATATGAGGCGACTAAAAAGACAATGGTTTAGGTCAAAGATACCATAGTCTTCAAAGTGACGTCTTTGCTCTTTAACATTTTAAAGAGGTGTTTGGCAGCAGATTTGCCCAGTGCGGTTTGTCATCTGATGTCTTGGCTGCTGCTTCCACAGGCATTGATTGTGGATTGAAGTAAAATGAAATCCCTGACAAGTTAAGTATTATTTTCCATTTGTCATGATGTTGCTTTTCCCGCCGATTGTGAGGAATTTTTTTTTTTTAATGTTGAGGTATAATCCATACTGCAAACTGCAGTCTTTGATCTCTGTCAGTAACTGCTTCAAGTTTTCTTCACTTTCGACAAGCAGTGTTGTCTCATCTCCATATCACAGGTTGTTAATCAGGCTTCCTCCAATCCTGATGCTGCATCCTTCTTCATGTAGTCCAGCTTCTTGGATTATTTGCTCAGCGTACAGATTGAATACGTATGGGGAAAGGAAACAACCCTGACGCACACCCTTCCTGATTTAAAATCATGCAGTATTCTCTTGTTTTGTTCAAACACCAGCCTCCTGGTCTATGTACAGTTTCCTCATGAGCACAATTAAGTGTTCTGGAATTGCCGTTTTTCTCAGTGTTATCCATAATCTGTTATGATCCACTCAGTCAAATGCCTTTGCATTGTAGTAAAACACAAGTAAACATCTTTCTGGTATTTTTGGCTTTCAGCCAAGATCCTTCTGCCATCAGCAGTGCCAGCCCTCATTCCACATCCTCTTCTGAATCAAGTTTGCATTTCTGGAAGCTCCCTGTCAGTGTACCGCTGCAACTATTTTCTTAATTACTGTCAGCAGAATTTTGCCACATGTCAAAATCAGTGCAGTGGCGGTGAGTTTAGTTTAGTATCCTAAAACCCAGCAGTCCTATTAGGAAAGTAGCAGGTTCCATTTTAGGACCAGGATCAAGTTGGAGGTAAGAAGATAAGACTCAGGATCAGTTCTTTGGTCAGGGAGCTTCTTCGCAGCTGTGCCTCTGTCTCAGGCTGTGGTCCTCAGCCCAGCCTCTGCCCTGGCCACCCAAGCTCCTGGAAGTCTCGGGGCTCTCGCTCCATGGGCCAGCACGCCCACTGTAGCCACTGCACATGGTCTCCTGCCTCTGCTGCTGGTTTCTCAGTTCGCTTGCTGCCACTCCTCACTGCCTTGTGCCGTTTCTAGTGTTCCCACTGTGTTCTGATTTCTGGACCTACGTTACGAGCTGCTCGGTGCCAGGACCCGGGGTCTGAGGATGCACTCCACTCCTGGCTCCTCTTCTTGACAGGAATGAGGGTCTCCACTTACTGTCTGTGATTGGGTCTTTTTAAACTGAGCAGGATGGTGAAACTAGAACTCCCTGACCCCAGGATTCCATTTATCTCATTTGCATAGTCCCACCTCCACAAGAGTTCCATATACTTTATTAGCGTTACAGGTAGTCTCTAACTTTCATTCAAGTTACGAGAAACTACACTAAATGACCGTCCAGGTTTCAATTTGTACAAGCTCTGGTGGTGCAGTGAGGCACCCAGCTCCTAACCAGAGGTTGGCAGTGGAACCCACCAGCTGCTCTGTGGGAAAACGATGAAACAATCTGCTTCCCTAAAGATTGACAGCCTTGGAAACCCTGTGAGGCAGTTCCACTCTGTCCTCTAGGGGCGCTGTGGGTCAGAATGGACTCCACGGCAGTGGGTGTGGTTTGGGCTTTGCTTCTGTGAAGACTGACAG